ATATATGGACAATAATACATCGCGTAGCATAGCTCTCAACGAATGTAGTCCTGTAAAAGTGACAAAGTGGCCACAAACACGGAAAACCTGGTTTCGGCAATCTATATAGTGATTTTTGACAAACTAATCGGACACCCCTGTAATACACCGAGTAGTTCCAGCTCTGGCTTGCCCTGTTTTGTACCACCTCTAATTTCCTGCTGAAACCTATAAATCCACCATAGGACTTTGCATGACGATTGATTGATCAATTGTGGTGTCGACGGCATTTCTGGACATGGGGATGTCTGACCTCTTCACGCTGAAGCCATTTTTTCATAAGAGGTCGTCTGCTCGTGGATGTGTCTAAGATAGGTTAATGGATAGCAAGTATACGGTGGCATATCTGGTATAGTTCTGGTGACCATAGCTGAAGAACAAGTTACACATTTTGAAAACTGCCATAGGTTTCAGATTGCAACTCAGTGATTCAGCTATGTTTCTATGTAGGTCTATGGCATTCTAAGCCCCTGATTGTTGTTGTCTAAAGCTGTCTAACTGTACACATCCTTGCTACCCATCTGTGGTTATAAATACACGGAGTGATGATTTTTTCATTCCCTTTTTAAAATTAGCATATCCCAAAAAAAAATACTTAATTCCGGTAACAAATTTTAATATTTATATGAATAAACTTTAAAAGCGACAAAAAATAAACCCAGTAGCCATTTTGAAAACACCTTCAACGCTGACATTCTGCTGTTGGTGTTTCCTCCTTAATGATAACTTGACATAGTTTTGCTTATTATTAGGTGCCATCAGTTCTAAAAACAATTCTTTTTACCTCTTAAAGTGACTATTTTATGTCTTCTTATGGAATTTAGCGGCCATTTTGAAAAGCGCCTTCACAGGTTCACCCACCACAACGCAATGTGCAGACAACCTGATTCCGAACCCTCTATGGGTAAGGTTTCCAAAAATAGTTGTCTCACAAAATCCCCCGAAGGGGGAGGGGGGATGGTGACAGCCCATAGTCTGAATCGAAGTGAGAAGTCCTAAAATCGGGTCCAATGCGTCCTGAAGCGGTAAGGCAAGCCTACTTATGACTGACGCTGCGCTTTCTAAACTGTGGTTTTTAGACCTTACCTCTCAATCGACTCTATTTCTACCCATCCTGTTTTACTCCTACACTTTTGAAATATTTGGCAGCTCTGGTCGGCTTTACCCACCAAAACCAGATATATAAATCATGATAAAATAGAAATAAACTCTAAACCGTCTTGCGATGCTATAAATATCTGTAAATAGATTATAAACGTTAAAGAAGAGGAATCTGCGAATGTGAACAAATATGTTCCCTAATCGAAATTCGAAAAAGGACCTTCTGCTGTATTTCTATTGTGTCTTTGTTTGAAATTTAAATCCGATTAAAGCATATAATTCTTCACAGTCTTGCCTATATTATATGCATAGAAAACATAAACTTAAATATCCTTTAATGAGTGTGACAACTGCCGGGCCATGATGACAATGCGCCCTTCAATATCGTATTGGGTGCCAACGGTAACTGAAAGATATCAATTTGACTTATTACCTGGAGGTACAACTCGAAGTGTTGTCCTACTCTTTAGATTGTTATACTGGCATTCAATGAGATGATAACCTTTTTTGACGTATGTTATAATGTATCCCTCTCGAGCTCCAGGTTGTGGTTCGTTACTAACAGTCCAGTCAGTCCAATTAGTTGCAACGAGTTGATCATGGGTTGCATTCGTCAATTTACATTTCACTGTGACATCACTTCCAACATAGAACGTCGGGTCTTTAGGGTAAATATGTAGCACTAAAGTATTTCATGAAAAACAAAATAAGCATTAATACCGTTGATAGTCCCATTATGGTG